TTTTGCTTTATATCTTTCATTGGTGGCGACGACAAATCGTAACGACTACTATGCTAGATTCGTTCATTGCTGTATCGGGGCAGGCTGGGGCAGGCGATGCGAAGAGACGACTGTTCTTATTGGCACAATGTGATGTACTAGTGGGAATTTTTTTTTTTTCTGAACTCGACAGTGTGAAACTGAAGTCCATTTGAGGCTGCAGCGGATGTTCAACGACGGTACAGTGCAGTTCTGTCATCTTGCTGATAGCAACGAGTACCGTCGATGCAAGGTCTCGTGACCTGACCTCTCGACGACTTCTATTCGACGATTTCCGGGCATTTTCGCAGCTGCCGTGGCGAGTTCGTCACTGTTTTGAACTTCATCGGTCTCAGGCTTGACTTGATGTTAGTAGTCATCTTACCTGCCTTACCTGCCTACTTATATCGATGATGTTTTGTCTTCAGCGATGTAGCGGGTAGAGTCCCCGATGGCTCCTTCACCTCAAAATGTGAGCACGAAAACTACTACTACTGTCAAAATATCCTGTTATCAACCGATATTAAACACACAATCACAGATGTAAAGAGCATTCGTGTTTATTTGAAACTTGGACTTCTGTTATTGAAAGTTAAGTGAAAAAAGGATTGAATTTGGAGACCTTTAATTTGTTACTCACCGAAGAAATGCAGCGAAAAGCAGACGCCGACGACAACTACTACGGCAGTTTTTTTGTTTTTTTTTACATTACGTGATTTCTCTTCGCCAATCGTATTCGTTTATCTGAGCGTTCCCTAGTTCGCTCTGTTTGTCCCTAGATTCCCTACGCAAATCCAGCGTTTAGCTAAGGGCGCGTCTGTGAAGCCGGCTTAACGTTGGTGCAACCGGAATTTAAACCCGTGCTTACCTGAGCTCGGTTTAGGGCGCTAAGCCGGCTTAGGAAAGTGCCGCTTTGGGTTAAGGTAAGCGGCGTTGGTGGAACCGGCCCTTAGAGGTTTTTAAAGCCTACGTGACTTGATTCATACTTTGTAGTTATGAGCCTACCAGTATCGTTTCCTTCACAAACAGAACTAAACCTCCCTGTTTTTGAACACCGAAAGAATACCGCGTCTTGCACGCCTACAAAACATTCATTACAAGTTTCCTTCGTCGAGATGTATACTGTCCAACACGTTTTCACCTTTTTTTCTGGTAAAAATAGCTCACTAAAAATTCAACGTGATGTGATTAGAAGTAATCTAATAAAATCTTATGTTTTTGTTACAATTAGTTGCTTCTGATAGGAACGATATCTGCCCGAGTTCGTTGTTAACCTGCCAAACTTTGATACTTTTACATCTATTATCTGCACTCTCCACGCCGTTTAAAACATACTCTCCTCGTGTGCTCAAAAAAACCTAGCGCTCATTTTTAACTGTTATACTATGATTGTTTAATATCGCCTGACCTTTCCCCCTCCCCCCTCCTCTTACTCAAAGCGTTCCCCAAATGAATGAACTACTAGCGCAAGAATTATACGAGCAGGCCCTATTATTGTCATAAACCCATCAAAGTGAATACGAGACGACTTAATCTGCATTTCAGCGAGCTTTGTTGACCGGGAGTGCTTCTTTCTTTTTTTACTTCCCGTGCCCTTTTGAAAAGGAAGGGGAAGGAACTTCAATGCGAATAATATTTTATGAGCCAGGCTGATTTTTTAATGCTGTCATAGAGTGCCGTATAACATTTTCTTGAATGTAGGCTACCACTGACTGAAAAGAATAAAAATCCGTCGTGCGTAGAATGACGCACCCTGAAAGGAAGTAGCCAGCGTTCGGCACGTTTAAATCCACTCTCAGATTCATTGAAGCGATTGAGTGTATATATGTATGCATTACCCACACATTACGTTTATAGATGGCGGAGAAACGATGTAACAAATTTATAAAAACGACATTAACATTTGCTTTTTTTTTTTAAAGCAGATCTGATCAACTTGTTTGTTTGTTTTTTTTACAAAAAAAGAGTTAAATGAGGTAGATCAAATAACAGTGGAAACTTTAGAAACATCTCGCATACAGCATACTCTGAAAACTTTGGAAACATGTAAATATATTACAAAGGTTACCGACTTTCGTCAGCCTTGGCAGTTGAATAGAATAAAGTTCCCAATTATAGCGCCGCCATGAATAGGCCTCTCTTTCTCAACTAGGAGATCACGCGCAGTCCCCAACTTCGAGATGAGATGCTCGCCTCGATCGCTAAGTAGACAATTACGAAGCTTAATGATTTGACATTAGCAGAAGTTCATTGTGGTATCTAAGAAAGCAAATAAATTATACAGAGTGCTTCTCTAACGACTGAAGATAATTTTAAAAAAAAATTCAGGCGAATTAAAAAAAAAAAGTTAAAACAATATTTTTTTGGAATTGCGTGGTCTACCGCAGCGGATGTCATCTTGTGAAGAAAAAGAAGTGATAATTAGCAATCTATACGCCTAATATCCCCTAATTCACTTTCTTTTTAATTTGTTATTGCTTTCGCTCACGGATTTTATTTAAAGATTAAGAAAGCCCGTCGTCCAAATATGCGGTAGCAATAAAAACTAACTTCTCTTCAGATCTATATAAAGGCTGCATGGGAAGCCGTTCTTGGAGTGCTACGCTGCTTTCCCTGCGCTCAGAGTTTGAAAGCTTTCAGTGCCCGAGGCTGCATCAGTGTCGCGCGGTTTTTCTACAACTACTGGACCCTTAAAGAGGCCGCGCATCGATTTTGGGTAGGAATATCTCTCACGTCACACAAGGTTACTGGCACTTGACTAAGAAACCTTTATTCGCCGCCGTGTAATTCCGAGAATAGATCACTGATCTATACTTTAAGGCGCTGGGTGGCGCATAGCTGCCCTCCGAGCCTGGCACAAGTGAAGCCACCGGAAGTTTGATGCTTGTTTCGGAAGTCGAGCGTCTGCTGGGCTTTCTGGTGTACTCAGTTCATGTTTTAGTCCATTTTTTTTTTTCTGTGTTTTTGAGCGGGTCTTTTGGGAAGCGTGCGACAAGAGAGTGGCGCTGCTGTGCGACTCCCAACAGAGTCGTTTGGCGGGAACAATAGTTCGAACGGCTCGCCCCCTTTAGGTGTTGCACGCTCTCTATTCTTCGTTTTAGCCCAAGTCTAGACGCAACATATGCTACAAACGCGAGCTCCGGGCTTTTAGTGTCCCTGCCAAGCACGCGCGAACGTGCAGTGCAAGCACTGTTCGGGGCAGCATTCTCGCTCCTATAGCATCGGCTGTTTTCGGACTTAAGCTGAAACAAATGTAATAATACAGTTTTTAATTAAATCGCGAGAATAAGGCGTTTGGGCATGAGACATTTGGAACACTTGATCAGTGTGCCGAATTCGGAGGCGCGTAAAACTCTTTTTGACCTGATGTTTCTTAGCGTAGAAAAAACAATTAAAAAACAAGGTCCAAAGCGCGCATCATGTGCCAACTATTGATACTCGCTTACGAAATGATGTAGTCTATCCCAAAAAACAACAGCAAATAGTCTTACCCCTCTTCCATCCCCCTTTCCCAAGAAATAAAAGTCACAACATTGAACTTTGGATAAACACTTTTACAAATATCGTTGCAACACACGTGTGCATCAACGTGCACCCACCGTGTGACGTGTGCGAGACTGGTGCAACTGTAGTCGGTGACGGGTCGAGAACTCGGGGCGAGTGAAAAAAAGGTTGGGGAGGAAGAAGCAGGTGGAATGCTGGAGAGGAAAATAGGAAACACGCCCCATTTTTCAGCATTCCGCCTGCTTCCCCGTCCCTCGCCTTGCTTTCCCTCGCCCCGGGTTCTTGATCTTTCACCGACTACGGACACACACTAAATGTGCAGTAGTTTGACGAATTCTGTATCCCCCGACGTTTGTCAGCATGATCATGCTAGATCAAATTTGGCTTCTCCTGCTGTATACATTTCACAATGCACGTCCCGAATGTATGGCTACATAGTTGCGCTCCGCTAACATTAGGTAAACGGTGTTTATACGAGGGTGTTTTGTTTGTGCTACCTCCATGCTTTGCTTCGCTCTGGACATTGACCTCATTAAGAATGTTGTTTGTGAAATCATTTTCAGCCTAGTTTATAGTCTCTTGTTCGTAATTATTCCCCTTCCATCCTCCATTCTCAATGTCCTGCCTATTTTGTTTTCAATTTGAAAAAACTCAGGATAGTCTTGGTCTTAAAGTGTTTTTGTTCGGTTTCTGAAGTGCTTTTGCGGTACCGGTGAACATCGACATGAAAGGCAAAGTTCCCGAATATACAATTTGCTTATTGGCAGAAAAAGAAGTATTTACGCCACTTAAGGTCGGACTCCATGAGGTGATTAGCCTGCGTAAAACCGACGAATTGTGCACGGTGGCATTTGCTCTGCGCCTGACTTCAGCACAGTGGCTGTTGCGCTGCAAGTAGGCATAGCAAACGTGCGCATGCTGTCAGACAAAATATGTCGGTTCTTCGGATATTTTCTGAAGGGAGTCCAGCCTTTAAAGTTCCTTCCTAGCACTTCGTGCGCAGCACTTCTCCAGGAAAGCACTTTTTCAACGCTTAAGGTGAATGTATTTCCTTGAACAACTATTTTTACACAATGAGTAATCCTTAAGCTCTCGCTGTCCCTTTTATGTGCTTTCAGATAACTTATTGTGTAGTCTTTTCTCCAACAAGGTATTAATTCCACCCTATTATTCTTTTAAATTTTTACAAAATAGAAAAAAAAAGTGCAATATTGGGAGACACGTAAAACTCTTTCCGACCTAATGTTTCTCAGCATAAAAAAAGGAAGGAAAAAGCAAGGTCTACAGCGCGCATCACGTGCCCACTATTGAGACTCGTTTACGAAATGATAAAGCCTGTCCCAAGGAACGGCAGCAAATAGTTTTACGGTTTACCCCTCTTCCTCCCCTCCCAAGAAATAAAAGCCAAAGCACTGAAATTTGAACAAACACATCTCCAAATATCGTTGCAACACCCGTCTGCTTCAACGTTCACTCACCGCATGACCAGATGCACTGTGCAGATTCCAACCAGAAGCAGAAGGAGCAGGGCGATCCTGGAGGAACGCGACCTCATTTCGTCACCTGTTGACACGACTTCGCCTCGCCAAAGCAGCGACTGCTCTCCACCCAACGTCGCCAGGATGACTTGGAGACCCGACGGCCTCAAACAACCTCACCAGTACCTCACACGTGCCTCGAAGACAACGATCCATCAGTCGCTGCAGACGCTTGCCTCCAAGATTTTGTCATTTTCCCGTGGTTAAATATCAACACTTCAATCTACATTGCAGGGTTTGTTTTCTGGAATTCCTTAAACAAGATGGTGGCTGGAAAGCGGTTTGCACTAGAAGCCCGATCCGGGTGGTAGGCAGTTCTCTGCAGGAAGTTTGGGTAAGTGCACTTCCAGCAGTGGGCTGCAACTTGTTCCCCGCACGAGCCGTATGTTTATGCCTGCGGCCGACGGCCCGTGAGTTGCTGCAAGCTGTGCGTCTTTGAAAAGCTGCTGCTGCTGCTGCTGCTCCCGCCCTGTATACGGCAGCTTGTTCGACTGCGTAAGCGAACGCCGGGCGAGAGGCGTGCTCGGCTTGGAAAGCGACGTCACGCCGACAGCTGCGCTTCTTCGAAAGACAGAAACTCCCTCTCTTTTCTGCCCTTCTTTAGGTTAACGAGTCTTGTTTTTCGGTTAAGTCAAAGAAAGAGGCTAACCGAGGAGACAGACGGGTGAGGCAACATCTCCCTCATAAAGATTATCGGTCACTGCTGCTGGAGCTCCGCGCGGCTGCCGGCGGTGTGACTGTGAAAGAATTGGAGAACGACGATGCATGATTAAGGTGATTAGACTTCTCGACTTACGTGAGACAGTGCCGGTTTTACAGTATCTGTCCAGCTATTTTCCCTCCCCCCTCTAAGTCAGGATATAAGACTGTGAAGTCTCCCACGTTTTTCTCTGTACAGCAGCTACAAGTACCATGTAAACTCAACTCTCAGGTCAGAAAGACAACCCGCGCCACTAATACTAGCACCAGTAGCATTAAAACGGCCTAGAGCAAATATGCCTTCTCCAGCCCATTTAATCTCGTTAATAGATAATCAGACAATTGCATCCGGAAGTCGTTAGAAACAGTAAAACATAATTATATTTTGTTTCAAAGTATGCAAAGAAACATGACCGTACTATACTCTCAGAAATGTTGGCATGCATAGTTTTTCTGCAATGATCTTGATGCACCAATCGTTTATTTAAATATAAAAATTTAACTAAGCGACTGATGAGCACGAACATCATGTCGTTTCTGTTGGCCACTCAGTCGCTTTACCAAGAGTACCATATCTTTGGAACTATGTGTACAGATTTGAGCGCGAACTCGTCTTGCTCGGTGACAAATAATCAAATGTAAATCGATCTTTGAAGCTGCAAGTATGTCGCAGTTCAGTGTGAGCCATTCCGTCCCCCCGCCACATACACACAGATGAACACACTCACACACACACACGCGCGCGCACACACACGCACGCGCACACGTACACACACACATTACCAATATGTTATATTATGCTTGAGGTAATTCTACCACGCCTGCAGGCAAGTATCAAGCAGTTCCTGCCAGGCCGGCAAATCTTTTCCAACCTCTGCTAGCAGGTTATGCGATTCCGGCCGATCAGGTCGGGAAAGTGTTCTTTCTATATTACAGTGAGGGCGCAAGTAAGCTGGTCTAATTTTATGATTTTGTTGAAAAACCCGAGGCTTGGCAATAATACCTAAAGCAATCGATAGTAAAAGAACCAGGGAAAGAAGGACAGAATTAAGACATCTCAAACTCAGCTGAATCAATTATTCTGTATACTCTCCTTCCTGCTGTGCGGATCCATGAGGCGCGTACGAAGGAACGGACAGCGAGCAATTCTAATGCGTACTTCGCCGATGCAGCACAGATGTAGTACATTTCTAAAATAAGGACGGCACCATACATACAGTTCGATAACATACAGTCGCATACAACATAAGAATGCGCCAGATAAAGCTCACAACACGCCATTCACGACATCAAATCGATCCGCGGACCATTAGGAAATGCAATAACTACGAAGGTTCACGTAACGTGTGGGCACGTGGAAGAAAAAGACGTTGGGGCGGCCCAGGGCGCTCCAGAGATAGGCCCGGTAGTGTGTCTCAATATTGCTGGGCTAGCGACCCAAGCAGCCTTGGATGGTACTCATTGCATGCATTCAAATTACTTGTAATAGAATATTTGTTTTATGTAATTATGTAATAATTTGAAGAAAGGTTTTAGGAAGTAATGACAAGTGTAATCTGATTACTTTTGGATGTAGTAAATTACGTGTAACCGTTTGTATTTTCCCCTTCCCTTCCTAATGGGGCCCTTTGTACAAGCTTTCTGCCTAGGAATCTTGGAGCTAACTCTGCGGCAGGAGAAGATAAGTAGTTTATAAATCGGTTTTTCTAATTCAAATATGGACCGAATGAAAGACCCGTTCTAAACCGCAAGAAAAAAAAAAAAAACTGATATTTTTATTATCTGAAGTAACTGGAAAAGTAAAGGCTACTTTTTTAAGTAACTGCCAGTTACGTTTTTTTTTTATTTCATCAAGTAATCTACTAGAATACTTTTTAACTTAAATAAATAAACGTAACGTGTACAAGACTGCATGAAACGTTTAAGGCACTCCCAGTGCCCGGCACTCGACTGCTGGGTTAGTTCGGATAAGGGTGCTCCAGTGGCACAGTTATTTTGGGCCACAGCTCAGTATCTTTCGGAGAGTTTGAAACCCTAAAAGAGCCCGAATGCGTTACGGTAGAGCCATACTTGACCTTCTTTGGCCAGAGTCTAATTGTTTTTGCCCTAATTAACGAAACAAATACAGAGTTAGGCTTCACTGATGGTAGTTTGGCTGTCATACGGCATCTTTGGGCATGAATTGCTGAACAAGCGCCGGAATTACAGCTTCACTTCTGGCTGTTTGTTTTTTACGTGGAAACTTGGTGCTTTAATCGCCAAGCAAGTACCAGATTAAGGCTTTACTCTATGTTTTTTTTTTCTTTTTTCTTTTGTTTATTGTGTCTTTGCCTCAAGTCTGTCTTGTTTGCAATTATATGGCGAGTCAGAGAAAAAAACATAAAAACGCCGAAGAAACGTACTGTGGCACTAACTAGCGCCTTAGAGTGAAACAAGATTAGGCACAAGTTAGGCCCAGAAAATTTTTCAAGCTTGGGATGCCGTTTTTTGTGTTTGCCAGGTTTTGTCGATCTAGCGAAGGAGCAGTACACACCGATCCCCACGGACTTCGGTGCGACGTAGATGCACCTCGGTAGCGGATTATTTTCTCATCGCGGACGAACACTGATTAGCGGTAATGAGGGTGTGAGAGGAGTGTTTTGTGCGCTCCTAATTCGTATCTGATTGTAGACGAAGGGTTCCGAGCAGAGTGCAATGTTAGCCGCAGCTACTGCATTCGCGTTGCTTCTAGAGGCGCTGACCACCACTACTGTGGCAGCGGCGGCTAGCGCGACGTACAGAAGGATAGGCATAGTCAGTCGTGTTCGTACCAAAAATGGGGTAAACAAACCCATGCTTAGGCGACACATAGTGCACGTCCCTAACGATGAAAGGTACGCCGGCATCTTTCGTGTCATGTCAGTTTTCCCAGTGGACCTATTCGCCAAGTTTAACTGCGAATAACTGGTGCGTAATAGGGTAACTGAAACGCGTCATCGACCGGTCTGTTTAACGCGTGATACCGCTCATGCATTATGCATTGATAGTAGTCCCGATATGCCAACAAACGACATCAAAGGAATCGGCGTGTCATGCCTCGGGACGTCGCGATCCCGGCGGTTGGTCATAGATGTTTCGGCAGGAAGAAAGAGCGAACGCGAGTGTCGCTGTAGTCGCGGCTTCTCAACTCCTGACTGCTGAAGTTACTGCGAACTTTCATGCTGCAGAGTGACCTGCAGCAGAACAGCCACCTGCTTTATCCACCACCACTGCTGTGCCACCGTTGGGATTTCAGAAGAGGACAGCATAACACTTGTATGCCGTCATCCGCCCAAATATTAATGGACTATGAATGAGGACGCGATGAATTCACCAGTCTGATAGGCGTTACAGGCACCATTGTGTGCGTTATATGAACACAATAACTTAGAATCGAAAAAAAAAAACGTATTGTTGCATGTATCGTTTCCTTTTTCTGAGAAATTATTCCAACTGAGGTCAGTGAAAATTAGCATGGCTGCACGCCGTGTAACTGTATAAGGTGCTTGCAATGCCAACGCTGGGGATCTAAAATGGGCTGTAAATATTGGCGCCTGCACATATCAATCTAAACTTTTCGACAAAGGTGTATTTCACAGGTGGATCTTTTCTTTCAAACTTACAACGTGTAGCTCCCTTTCAATAAAAAACAGTGCCAAAAAAACTTATCAGGGTCAACGGTAGATGACGGCATAGACGACCGAATTGAGTGGCCTGGCGCGTTTGTCGCACGTTATGATAAATGGCGATACGTGCATGTTCCAGCTTGCTTTAAAAAAAAAGGAATCGAAATTCCTTGCGACGGCCATGGTCTATTAAAATGAACGTAATCTTTCTTGTAATGTTATGCCCGCGTCCAACTAGAGTGACAGACAGAGACAAAAGACAGCGACCAGCCTCAAACCGATGCAGCATGCTCCCGATGGCACCTTTGGCAGGCGTTTAGTCGTTCGGTGCTCGTGAAGTAAGCACGAGCGATTGCAAGCCTGCCAAAGATACCCTCGCGTGCATGATGCTCGCGTTTGAGCATAGCCTCCGTTCCTCTACAAAGCGTCTCAAATCGCGAAGGACTCTCGTTTGAGGCTTGTCTTTGTCTTTTGTTTCTGTATGTCACTCTGGTGGGACGTTTAAGAATAAATGCGGACAATGATAACAAAACTTGAAGTAACAAAAATAAAACAAAAACGCGCTTGCAAAACGACGGCGCTCTAGCCGCCGACGAATTTCGTCTGCGTGTCGTCGGCTTTCATTCGTTGGTCGGCTACAGCTTGCGACGCTGCTCCCGACGCCATTTATCAAA